TCATCTATGTAAGATCTCCAATATCACAAAGGCCAATAAAAGTTGGTTCTGATCTCACATAACGTAGAAATGTTTGAAGTTGTGGTCTTAATTATGATAAATTATGCATAGAAAAATCCTTCAAATATAACTAAGCAAGAAGAATAATCTGGTCTTCATCAAAAGTAGCAAACAAATTGGTGGGATTAAGACATGCTATTCCCATCAACAGCTTCGAGTTTAATTAAGTGAACCGATGATTTATTTCTTGAGAGATAATATCGATCACCTAACATTGTTAAAAAAAAATAAAATTAATATTTCATAATATAAACTAATACTGCAATAATTTTTATAATAAATAAAGAAGAATAAAATACCTGTATGAAAGCGTCCACTCGAAAATAATGAAGATGTGTTTTTCTTTGGGCGTCAACAAGTATTCTCAATAGTCTGGGAATGATATCATTCATATCGGGGACAATTTCCATAACCCAAACAAAACTTAGTTACTTCATCCAAAAAGTCCTCCCAACCACTTGTTCTAAATTCTTGCAATTCATCATATGTTGGTTATATTTAAATAAAGCTATGTACTATCAGTTGTTCCTTTATAGAATTAATTTTGTATAAATTAATTTCTGAAGGATTGATTCGCAATTCTTTTACGAGAATTGGTCATTAGTGATTACTTGATAACCACTTGGGCACACTTTAAGAATAGCCAAATATATTTTGACTGCAATTAAATGTGGAGTGCGTCAAATGCTTTGACTACAATAATAATTTTTGGAAATATTACTTGTGCACAAGGCTGAGAGTAATATTTTTATGGCTCTTGAGGATGACAGTATGCGGTTAGGCGTGAGGGTGTTGTTTATCATTTTTAAAATATTAGCGCTGTTTGAATTATCATAAAGTCGACACTTTGTATGTCGAATTGTATAGAGTGGAATTACTCACATCCATTGGCCAAGAAACTGACATACAATATGTTTTTGGGAATGTTAAAGTCCACTAAATTGTCTTAGCATGAGACATCCAATTCCCTCCTAGTACAACGCTGAGAGCTGAATTCAATGTGGAAAGCTCACATTTAGAGGATTGGAACATACGTGATTTATTCATCTCAAAGAGTATGTTCGAACTTGCAAGAAAGTTCGGATGAGGTTTAGCCATATAAGTTTCAACTAACTTATCCATTGAATTTTTCACATACACAAAAAAAAATCTGTGCAAGATGTCACGGAAATAATGCATAACAATTATTTTTATTTATTATATATAATGATTGAATTTAACTTATGCAAGACGTCATTAGTTGCAACTAACTTATTCATTGAATTTTTTCCCATACACCAAAAAAATCCGTGCAAGATGTCAAATAAAAATGGATAACAATGAATAACAATGAATCTTGTTCATTATATATAATGATAGAATTTTACTTATCCAACAAAAAGTATTAAATAATAACTAGATTTTTGTTAGATGTCAGAAGTTGAAACTAACTTATCCATTGAATTTTTGAAAAAATCTGTGCAAGCTGTCAGGGATAGAATGGATAACAATGACTTTTATCTATTATATATAATGATTGAATTTAACTTATCCAACAAAAAGAATAAAATCATACCTGGATTTCTGTTAGACGTCAGAAGTTGGAACTATTTTATACATTAAATTTTTCACATACACCAAAAAACTCCGTGCAAGAGGTCAGAGAGTAAATGGATAACAATAAATTCTGTTTACAATATATAATGATTGAATTTAATATATTCAACAAAAATAATTAAATCATACCTAGAGTTATGTTAGACGTCAAAAGTTGGAACTTACTTATCCATTGAATTTTTCACATACACATAAAAAAAATCCGTGTAAGATGCCAGCGAATGAATAGATAACAATGAATTTTATTTATTATATATAGTGATTGAATATAATATATCCAACAAAAATATTGAAATCATACCTAGATTTTTGTTAGACATCAAAAGTTGGAACTAACTTATCCATTGAATTTTTCACATACACCAAAATAATCCGTGCAAGATGCCAGGTAAAGAATGAATAACAATGAATTTTATTTATTATATATAATGATTGAATTTAACTTATCGAACAAAAAGTATTAAATTATACTTAGATTTCTGTTAGACGTCATAAATTTCAACTAACTTATCCATTGAATTTTTCACATACACTAAAAAAATCTGTGCAAGATGTCACGGAAATAATGGATAACAATAACTTTTAGTTATTTTATATAATGATTAAATTTGACTTATCCAACAAAAACAAGTATGAAACTATTTTATGCATTAAATTTTCGTATACACGAAAAAAGTCCGTGGAAGATATCAGAGAAAAATGGATAACAATGAATTTTATTAATAATATATAATGATTGAATTTAATATATTCAACAACAAAAAAAATTAAATCATACTAGATTTATGTTAGACGTCAGAAATTTGAACTAACTTATCCAATTAATTCTTCACATACACCAAAAAAAAATCCGTGCAAAATGTCAGGTAAAGAATGAATAACAATGAATCTTGTTCACTATATATAATGATAGAATTTTACTTATCCAACAAAAAGTATTAAATAATAACTAGATTTTTGTTAGATGTCAGAAGTTGAAACTAACTTATCCATTGAATTTTTGAAAAAATCCGTGGAAGCTGTCAGGGATAGAATGGATAACAATGACTTTTATCTATTATATATAATGATTGAATTTAACTTATCGAACAAAAAGAATAAGATCATACCTGGATTTCTGTTAGACGTCAGAAGTTGGAACTATTTTATACATTAAATTTTTTACATACACCAAAAAACTCCGTGCAAGAGGTCAGAGAATAAATGAATAACAATAAATTCTGTTTACAATATATAATGATTGAATTTAATATATTCAACAAAAATAATTAAATCATACCTAGAGTTATGTTAGACGTCAAAAGTTGGAACTTACTTATCCATTGAATTTTTTACAAACACATAAAAAAATCCGTGCAAGATGCCAGCGAATGAATAGATAACAATGAATTTTATTTATTATATATAGTGATTGAATATAATATATCCAACAAAAATATTGAAATCATACCTAGATTTTTGTTAGACATCAAAAGTTGGAACTAACTTATCTATTGAATTTTTTACATACAGCAAAAAAATCCGTGCAAAATGTCAAGTAAAGTATGGATAACAATGAATTTTATTTATTATATATAATGATTGAATTTAACTTATCCAACAAAAAGTATTAAATTATAATTAGATTTCTGTTAGACGTCATTAGTTGCAACTAACTTATTCATTGAATTTTTTCACATACACCAAAAAAATCCGTGCAAGATGTCAAATAAAAATGGATAACAATGAATTTTATTTATTATATATAATGATTGAATTTAATATATTCAACAAAAAGAATTAAATCATACCTAGATTTATGTTAGACGTCAGAAATGTGAACTAACTTATCCTATTAATTCTTCATATACACCAAAAGTATCCGTGCAAAATTTCAGGTAAAAAATGAATAACAATGAATCTGTCAGAAGTTGGAACTAACTTATCTATTGAATTTTTCACATACACTCAAAAAATTTGTGCAGGATGTCAGGTAAAGAATGAATAACAATGAACTTTATTTATTATATATAATGATTGAATTCAAAAAGTATTAAATCATACCTAGATTTCTGTTATATGTCAGAAGTTCCATTGAATTTTTTAGATACACCAAAAAAATCCGTGCAAGATGTTAGGTAAAGAATTGATAACAATTAATTTTATTTATTATATATAATGATTGAATTTAACTTATCCAGCTAAAAGAATTAAATCATACCTGGATTTCTATTATACGTCAAAAGTTGGAACTAAGATATCCATTGAATTTTTCACATACACCGAAAAGATCCGTGCAACATGTCAGGGAAAGAATGGACAACAATGACTTTTATTTATTATATATAATTATTGAATTTAACTTATCCAACAAAAATACTTAAATCATAACTAGATTTCTGTTAGAAGTCAGAAGTTGGAACTAATTTATCTATAGAATTTTTCACATATACTAAAAAATCCGTGCAAGATGTCAGGAAAAGAATGGATAAGAATGACTTTTATTTATTATATATAATGATTGAATTTAACTTATCCTACAAAAAGAATTAAATCATACATGGATTTCGGTTAGACCTGAGAAGTTGGAACTAACTCATGTATTCAATTTTTCACATACACAAAAAAAATCCGTACAAGATGTCAGGGAAAGAATGGAAAACAATGACTTTTATTTATTAGATAATGATTGAATTTAACTTATCCAAAAAAAAGAATTAAATCATACTTGGATTTGTGTTTGACGTCAGAAGTTCGAACTTACTTATCCATTCAACTTTTCACATACACTAAAAAAATCCGTACAAGATGTTAGGCAAAAAATGGATTACAACTATTTATGAGAAAATGTCAACAGTGTGTTTGTTTTTTTTTTTTTTTTTTTTTTTTTTTTTGAATTATAGTATGCTCGTAAATATATATATATAATTTTAAGAAAAAAAACTATATATTATTAAATACTGGAGTTTTTTTCTTTTGGACTTTTTATTTGTAATATGGTTATTTTGATTATTTTTTCTTAAATTATAGTTTAATTTAATGTGATTTTTTGAGAAGAAAATATGTATTTGAAAAAAAAGTTAGGAAAGTTGCATAATAAAAATATTTATGAGCCAAGACATAGAACGTAGTTACGTAGAGTAAATCCAGAAGTTAACTTAATAGTTCCCATCCCTCAAAAAAGTTCAGCAAAAAAAAAAAGAAAACACAATTTGATTTCCTGCCTTGCACTCTGTTCCAACTCTCTACTTTCACAAGATCATGTAGTATTTGTTAGAATTTGTTTCACACAACGGTAGCTTTGCTTTGTATGGAGTTGAGCACTAGTTCGCCCATTTCAACCCCGCCAACAAATTTCTCTGCAATCAGAACCAAATAATAATTACACATGAAAATCGAGGACAGAAAATAATAAGAGAGCGAACAACTGATGATTGATTGTGTTGTTCTTACAATTTGGGACCAGAATATATCGCCACTGCGATATCCTCTACTTAGAACATCCAACATGGATGTCGTTACGAGGAGTACGGCCTTCATCAAGAATCACTAGCTCAGGGATCTGAAGAAGTGTCGTCCTCAGAACTTCCAAGTTCTGTTCAGCACCGGTCCTCTGCCCCTCCACGTGCTTCTGCGCCGTTAACTTCTCCAGAAGATCATAGCTAATCTCCGAAAGGCCTCCCCCTCTCTTCCACGAATATATTTTGACCATGCGATATCAAAATATTAAAAAAACATTCTTAAAACCTTATAACTTAAGCTATCCAATCAAACACATTTAGTGCAAATATAGAGCAATTGCAAATTAATAATCGGTCAAAATAATTAAAAAGGATACAAAATTCATCATAAATCTTTACAAATCACAACCTATTCTACACGTGTCTGCATTTTGACCCTTCGCCAGGAATGAGCTTTGATGCCTCGACTGCTTGCATATCAATTCGATTGGTTGGCACTTGCGACTTGCATTTGGGTGAGGTAAGGATGAACAGATACCATAGAGAATCCAAATTCACTCTTAAATGGTTTCCTTAACAGTTCCTGTTCCAGCCTGTCGATCAGTTTCTTTTGCATTCCAGTCGGTTTCAGGAGGATTACACAGTCTCTTAATCCAGGGAGATTCTTTTGTAGGACAGTTCCCAAACGTTAGATGGAGACTTTAAGCCTCTCCACTACACGATTGACTGCTCCGGGAAGTAAAGCAGGCCGAGAGATTTGGGCTTCCTTGTCTGAATGCATAATTTCAGCGAATTTCCGATCCTGCTTAATCTTTTCTGCCACTGTCGGCCTTACGATCTTCAGGGTATTGAACAGCTCTTCGAAGTTGTTTTGGAACGGCATCCTGGACAATATGACACACTTTTCTGTCTTGAGCTGAACTACGGATGTCCAAATTTTATTCCTGTTGTTTCGAGGAGTATGGCCTTCATCAAGAATCACTAGTTCAGGCATCTCAAGAAGTGTTGACCTCAGAACTTCCAAGTTCTCTTCAGCACCTGTCCTCGCCTACATTTGCTTCCTCCACGTGCTTCTTTGCCGTTAACTTCTCGAAACGATTGTAGCTAATCCCCAAAAGGACTCCCCCCCTCTTCCACGAATATATAATGACCATGCGGGTAGCCTCCATATCGCGGCATCTGATCTTCGGCCCTTTAAAGAGATGGTCAGCGGCCGCCCTCTCATTGCCGATGAATGCCGGATTGTTCAGGTTGCGGAAATGAAGCCCAGCCCTCCACATTCTGAACTCTGATTCCCAAGTACATAGTATGTTTGCTGGGATGATAATCATCGGAAGACAGTTTGAAACATCTTTAGATACGTCTCAAGGAATACAATCGTCAGATGTGTCTTTCCAGTACCTGGTGTATGAGAAATGATGCATTCACCCACCCCAGGTAGATTTGAGTTCTTTAACTCGGAAATATAAGTACTTCCTGCGAAGTTCTTCTAGAGGAACTCAAATCCTTCTTCTTGCTGGTGTTCATAGATAGTTTCTCGTACACCAGCCTTGATGCTCCAAACAAAGCCGCTAGTCCAGCAGCATCCACCACCGGGAGATAAATGGCGCCAAGATCCAGACCCTGCCCATTCTCCTGCTTCTTCTTCTGCCTGTTTTGCGGAGCATTTTGAGCTTTGATCACCTGCAAACGGAGAAAGAAGAAGACATATAAACAGGGGTAGCTGCACAAATTTTAAATCAACCTAAAATTGCACTCACCTAGTTTCGGATAACAGAATAGTGCAGAATTAGTGAGAATAGATATAAATTAAATGGAACAATTTTGATGTTACCAACAGTTGGATGATTTTCGGATTTTAGTTCTTTAGAGGAAGCAATTGATATATAATTACCCACTAAGGAAGTACATCCTTCGGATGAATCGCTACATGATCACAGTCGATACAATACAGTCCTGAGTGTCTATTCATTTAACCCTCGAGCACATCTGGGCTCCTGAGTGTCTTCCTCCTCCTCATCCACTTGAACAGCCTGCAGGCCGGGAATGCAACGCTAGTTATCATATTTGCTTTCTGAATTAAAATAGTGCTGAATTAACTCTGAATCTGTGTCGAATCAATTATTCTCTGTTGAAACTAAATGACATACCTCACGGTTGGTAATCGTCCCCATTTCTTCCACAGCGCAGTTAAAGTTCAACTCTTCAATAAAAATCGCCCGCCTCCTTCGTCAACTCAGCTTCTCTCTGCTCCTCTTCTGTCAGTGGCACCACATCATCCTCAAAACTGAACTTCTTTAGAAGAGCAGGGTAGTCTTCAGCTTCGCCTGTATGCATTATCCCAGATGGTGGTCCGAGATGGATTCTTCTAGGAACTTGGAGATTTCAAATTGTTTTTGCCTCGTCTTCTTCTCTTTGGCCCTTGTTATGAACTTCGTCATTTCCTTAAGCCAATAGGGAATGTCATCTCCATCACCGCTGTTTCTGCTAGTCCGTGGAGCTTTTCAAAACGCTGTGCTGTTAAGATTTCTTCGACTTCACAAATTTCTGACCGCCTCCTCCACTTCGTCTTCCTCTGAGGAGAGTTCACTGCAGCCTTCCATTTTGGATTTCCAATTCTGTGCTGCTCTGAAGACTCCACAGGAGCGCCTTCCTCTGCTGCTCGTGATGCTGACACTATCCCCTGAATCTCCTTCCAAATCGCCAATTTCATGGCATTCTTCAAGGGGAGCCATGAATTTTATATCAACCTAAAATTGCACTGACCTACTTTCGAATGACAGAGTAGTGCAGAATTAGTGAGAATAGATAAATTAAATTGAACAATTTTGACGTTACCAACAGTTGGATGATATTCGGAGTTTAGTTCTTTTGAGGAAGCAATCCATATATACTTACCCACGGAGGAAGTACGTTCGTCCGATGAATAGCCACATGTTGACTACCTCACGGCAGGTAATCGTTTCCATTTCTTCCATAGCACAGTTAAAGTTCAACTCATCAATCGAATCGTCCACCTCCTTCAACAACTCAGCTTTTCTCTGCTCTACGTCTGTCAGTGGCACGACTTCGTCCTCATAACTGAACTTCTTTGGAAGTGCATTGTCCCAGATGTCAACTCTTTCGTCGTTTTTCACTTTTCGGCTCTTTGTCAGAGTGAAGTCTTCATCGCCAGACAGCTCATCCACAACATAAATTATCGAACCTTTGGTAACAGTATCCACCGAATTGGAGGGCCTATCGGAAGGGCTGTCAGAATTATCCTGGTTGGTGCGGTGATAAGAAAGTTTGCATGATCGACGTGGCCTATAAGAACGGCGGCTGTGCAGCGACTAGCAATGGGAATTGTGAAAACCAAAGAATGGACAATGCTAGTGTGGGCATGAAGGCTCCGAATTTTAAACTATTCGGCAATGATCCTCTTGCAGGTGTTGGGGCAGCTACAGAGAGTGTCTCGAGTTTTAAACTATTTGGTGTGACGGCATCTACTACTGTTTCGGGCAACAATGGTGTTGAGACAACTCTGGAAAATTGCCCGAGTTTCAAACTCTTTGGTACGGACGTAGCTACTGATGCTTATGGGGGCATGAAGGGGCCTCTGGAAAATGGGTTGGATTTTCGACTGTTTGGGGTGACGACACCAAATGTTGCAGACAACAGTTCTCTTGAGGGAATGAATGTACCCGAAGAAAATGGGTCGGGTTTTAAGCTGTTTGGCGTGAAGGCATGTATTGGCAGCAACAATGTGATGGAAAATGAGGAGGGGGTTTTAAGCTCTTTGGGGTGAATGTACCTTCTTCATCATCTACCTCTTCAAAGCTATCGAAAATGGAGTTGTCCACCTACAAAAGCGAAAAGCAATTGCAAATATGACGATGATTGCAGTTATTGAAATAGAAGCAGTATAGCTTCAAGAACATTATACTTACCACGAGCTCAAAACCTGGTATGCATCAAGCTGCACATGATCACGGGCCGTGCAAATCAATCCTCAGCTACCCATATATGACAGGCCATGGTTTTCGCCGGTGCGTCCTTCATTTTGAGCTGCTTGGCGTGCTTGTGTTGAAAGGCTTCAGAATCAGAAATCCCAGGGAAACAATAGTGAAACTGCACTACCTTCGTGGCCAGGTATCTTATACAGCACTGTTACATCTGCTTTGTCATTGGCTGTTGGTTGATGATTGTGTATTGATTCCAAAACTTCAGGTATTAAAACTCCAGATCAAACTAATAGACAGAGCTCCAATGAAAGTAAAGTTATTCCCTCTGTGACTAGTCGAGGAGGCACAAAGGCCATCCCATCTACTGTTGTTAATCCCTTGATGCCTCTCTCATCGCCCTTGTGGAATACCCCATCTTGTGAGGGACTGCCATTGAGCAGCATGACCAAAAGCTCCACTTTCGATTATCAGGCTCTTTCACCCTTGAATCCGAGCCAAATTCCACCTATAAGGAATTATGTAGCACATTCCTATGGGCCCTTGCAGGCTTCCTTTCCAGTACCCTGGCTTGCCTCGTCGCTAAGTTCTCCTTTTGATATCACTACTAGCTATCCTAATTTTACAATCATGGAGCCAGTAAAATTAACTCCAGCCAAGGAAACATTCTTGCCAATCAGCACGGGCACAAAGCACATCTCTCCCATTCCTGCTACACTGACTGCACCAATCCTTCCAATGCACCACAGAGAAATTCCAGCATCTCCGGTGTTATTTCGGACAGAAGAACTCTACCAATCCTTAGTGAAGGAGACGTCAATTCCCTTCTCTCATCTCTTAGTAAGATGGCTCTGTCATTCCCCTCGAGCCTCGACCGAGAATACCTTCTCTCGTCTCTAATCATAGTAACTCCATTGTATATTCCCATTGTTGATACTGAGCTCGTGATGTGTTGGTTCAAATGTATCATTCTTTTTAGCTAATTTGAACTCAATTGGAATGTTCTCAATGCATACTTTGATTATAATCAGTGCAGAATTTAAAGAATAGTGGAATATTTTTAATGCATACTTTTATTATAATTAGTGCATAATATAGGCAAATGTGCACTAAATAAAATGATTTATTTTCATATAAAGTTAGTGCCCATTTGTCTATATTGTACGTTGGTTCTAGATTTAATAAACATAAGTGTCCAAAAAATAATTTAAATTGTGCCAGACATTCATAAAAAAAAAAAAAAAAAAAAAAAAAAGAAGATTAATCATATGGCCAGGAAAGATAAAGAAATTAATTAAGTATATAAAAATCCTATTTTATTTGTGGCTTTAAATTCAATTTTAATATTATTTTACCCTCAAAACTATTTAGATAGGAAACATCAAAATCAAATCAAATCACAAGTAAACACACCCTAAAATTCATCTATCAAATAGATAAATAAAATTTCATGAATATAAATGAATAAATAAATTTATAGTATGCTATTTTAACAAAATTTCATGAATATATGGAAACAATTTGTGAAAATTGTCAAGCCTATCTTGTTTCTATATAGCAACTCCCTCCCATGTAAAACATGTAGAAGCAAAGTGAGAATACCAAGTTTTAATAAATCTCATATGTAACAACAATGGTTTCAAAAGAAAAATAAAAATTTTAATATAGCTCTTAAATCAAGATTAAGGTTTCCTTAAAACCCTTCTCCCCCCTTCTCTTTTAATGATCTCAAACTAATTTTTTCTGCAAATTATGAAAATTCCATTATAGAAATTTTTTTTTCTTAAGATTTATTAGGGCATACCCTTTTTTCTTTGATACTACAAAACTAATCTAACCAAATGCTCTTACCCTATGTCCGCGAAACTATTGCAATTAAAGCAGTTTTGATGTTTTGAACATCATCATCCTTGTAACTTACCAAAACCCACAAATAATGAAAATAGAACTCTAACCTTCAGTTATGATCACTCTAGAAAAATTGTCAAAAACTGGGATCAATCTAGTAGGCAAAAAGAAATCAAACATAAAGCTAATCTTTCCGGACATATATATATCACCAAAATGAATACAATTTGTCATTGTTTTATAAACGATGAACATATTCTTTCAATGCTAGAAGTGGTTGCGAAGTCAAGAGAAAGAAAAAAAACCTAGCGATCTTTATTATATGTAATGATTGAAATCAAGAGAGCAGTATGTTTCTTTTCTTTTCCGATTAAATTTTTGGATATTAAATAAGTTTTTCTCGATAAAATATCATCATCGAATCTAATTTTTAATTAAAATTTATAATCTAATAATTATTTTAAAATTCAAAATTTGTTAATATTTATAAAATAGCAAAAAAAAAAACTTCGAAAAAACAAATACATACCCCACAAATTATTGATTTAGTGCAATAACTGCAACTATAATTATTACAAATGATATTTTCAGATTGAGAAAAAAGAAAGACATATATGAAAAATGAACCAACCATGGAAAACAATTACATCATGGACCATATTTTAAGAAATTGCAAAGAAAAATAACGAGTTTTTTCGCTGAACCCAAAATGTTTGGACACTTTTTCCAATTAATATTATAAAAATTACCATGTATAAATGTATTTACACAAATTACATAATATATTATATCTACTAAAAAAATCAATAATTCAATATAAAATATTATATTTTATATTACTGATGCACTTCCTTACATTTAACATTAAAAATGCATCAAACACAAAACAAACACACTCAAATATACCAAACAAAACAAAAAAATACTTACAGTTTTGTAATGGACAAGGATGATCCTGTCTTCTTCAGTTTAAAAAATGGCTTCTAAAAAAATTGCATAGGTTGAATAAATTTCACAAATGTTAGATTTTTGTGTAATCATTGGAACATATCAAAAAGTTAGATGTAGTTGAGTCGTAGCTAAAAAGTAAATGAATGGAAATATCAACAATAAATTGAATCTAGACTAATCAATTCTCCAAATTAGTTTTTACTTTTTGCCCGACTTAAAGTATATAAAAAAAAATCTTGAGTATATCATAAACATAAATCCGGTCGAATAGTAGCTAAAAGTTGAATGAATAACAATACCATAAGTATATCCAAGGAGAAATGAAAACACATGAATAAGAATAGATTGAGAAAGCAACATAACCTTGTGTTTAGATGGCACTCTGCGAATAATGGATAACAAATGTGTAATCTCTGAATTCTCGACTTCTTAATTCTCCGAAATAATTTTGATTTTTGTCCAACTTTGAGTATATTGAACAATTCTCGAGTGTATCAAAAACTTAGAGCCAGTTGAATCGTACCTAAAAACTAAATAACTAGTAATATCAACAATGAATCGAGTTCTAAATTATGCACTTTTTCAAATTAGTTTGGAGTTTTTATACAACCTCAAGTATATCGAAAAAAATCTTGAGTATATCAAAAACTTAGATCCAATTAAATTGCAGCTAAAAATTGAATGAATAACAAAACCAACAATGTATGAAACCAGAAATAAAAATGCATGTATAAGAATAGATTGTAATAGAAACATAACTTTATTTTTAAATTCTACTCTTCAAAAAATGGATCTAAAATGTGACATCTCCAATTTCTCGAGTACTTAATTATCCAAAATTATTTTGATTTTTGTCCAACCTTGAGTATATTGGAAATATTTTGACCTTATCAAAAACTTAGATCCAAGTGAATCATACCTAAAAACTAAATGAATAGCAATATCAAAAATGCTTTAAGTTCTTGCCATCTTAGTTCTCTGAATTAATTTTGAGGTTTTATCCAACCTCGAGTATATCAAAAAAAATCTTAATTACATCAAAATCTTAGATCTAGTCGACTCATCGTGAAGAATTGAATGAATAACAATATCAACAATGTCCAAAGCAAAAAGGAAAATGCATGTATAAGAATAGTTTGAAAAAGAAACATAACATTGTGTTTAGAAGCTACTATGCAAATAATCAATCTAAAACGATCTAAAACATAAAATCTTTAAATTCTCGACTACTTAATTCTCCGGAATTGGTTTTTAGTATTGTCCAGCCTCAAGTATATTGAAAAAATCTCGAGTGTATCGAAAAGTAAGATGCAGTTGAGTCATACATAAAAAGTAAATGAATGGCAATATAAACAATGAATCGAATCTAGACTAGTCAATTCTCCGAATTTATTTTTAGTTTTTGTCAGACCTCGAGTATATAAAAAAAATCTTAAGTATATCAAAAACATAGATCCGGTCGGATAGTAGCTAAAAGTTGAATGAATAACAATAACATAAGTATATCCAAGTAGAAATGAAAATGCATGAAAAAGAATAGATTGAGAAAGCAACATAACCTTGTGTTTAGATGGCACTCTGCGAAAAATGGATCACAAATGCGTAATCTCCAAATTCTCGACTTCTTAATACTTTGAAATAATTTTGAGTTTTGTCCAACTTTGAGTATATTGAACAATTCTCGAGTGTATCGAAAACTTAGATCAAGTTGAATCGTACGTAAAACTAAATGAATAGTAATATCAACAATGTATCGAGTTCTCAATTACGCAATTTTTCAAATTAGTTTGGAGTTTTTTACAACCTCAAGTATATCGAAAAAAATCTTGAGTATATCAAAAACTTAGATCCGGTTAAATTGCAGCTAAAAATTGAATGAATAACAAAAACAACAATGTATGAAACCAGAAATACATGTATAAGAATAGATTTTAACAGAAACATAACTTTATTTTTAAATTACACTTTTCAAATAATGGATCTAAAATGTGAAATCCCTAATTTCACGACTACTTAATTATCCAAAATAATTTTGATTTTTGTCCAGCCTTGAGTATATTGAAAATATCTTGACCTCATCAAAAACTTAGATCCAAGTGAATCATGCCTAAAAACTAAATGAATAGCAATATCAACATTGCTTTAAATTCTCGCCATCTTAATTCTCCGAATTAATTTTGAGGTTTTATCCAACCTTGAGTATATTGAAAAAAATCTTGATTATATCAAAAACATAGATCTAGTCGAATCATCATGAAGAATTGAATGAATAACAATATCAACAATGTCCAAAGCAAAAAGGAATATACATGTATAAGAATAGTTTAAAAAGAAACATAACATTGTGTTTACAAACTACTCTGCAAATACTCAATCTAAAACGATCTAAAACATAAAATCTTTAAATTCTCGACTACTTAATTCTCCAGAATTAGTTTTTAGTTTTGTCCAGCCTCAAGTATATTGAAAAAATCTCGAGCCTATCGAAAAGTGAGATGCAGTTGAGTCGTACCTAAAAAGTAAATGAATGGCAATATAAGCAATGAATCGAATCTAGACAAGTCAATTCTCCGAATTAATTTTTAGTTTTTGTCCGACCTCGAGTATATAAATAAAATCTTGAGTATATTAAAAACATAGATCCGGTTTGATAGTAGCTAAAATTTGAATATATAATAATACCATAAGTATATCCAAGGAGAAATGAAAACGCATGAATAAGAATAGATTGAGAAAGCAACATAACCTCGTGTTTAGATGCCACTCTGCGAATAATGGATCACAAACGCGTAATCTCCAAATTCTCGACTTCTTAATTCTCCAAAATAATTTTGAGTTTTGTCCAAGTTTGAGTATATTGAACAATTTTCGAGTATATCGAAAACTTAGATCCAGTTGAATCGTACCAAAAAACTAAATAAATAGTGATATCAACAATATATCGAGTTCTCAATTACCCAATTCTCCGAATTAGTTTGGATTTTTTGTCCAACCTCAAGTATATCGAAAAAAATCTTGAGTATATGAAAAACTTAGATCCGGTGGAATCGTAGCTAAAAATTGAATGAATAACAATACCAATAATGTATCAAACCAAAAACGAAAATGCATGTATAAGAATAGATTGTAACAGAAACATAACTTTATTTTGAAATTCCACTCTCCAAATAATGGATCTAAAATGTGAAGTATCCAATTTCTCGACTACTTAATTATCCGAAATAATTTTGATTTTTGTCTAACCTTGAGTATATTGAAAATATCTTGACATCATCAAAATCTTAGATCCAAGTGAATCATACCTAAAAACTAAATGAATAACAATATCAACAATGCTTTTAATTCTCGTCATCTTAATTCTCCGAAATTTTTAGGTTTTATCCAACCTCTAGTATATCAAAAAAAATCTTGATTACATCAAAAACTTAGATCTAGTTGAATCATAAAGAAGAATTGAATAAATAACATTACCAACAATGTACAAAGCAAAAAGGAAAATACATGTATAAGAATAGTTTAAAAAGAAACATAACATTGTGTTTACAAACTACTCTGCAAATACTCAATCTAAAACGATCTAAGACATAGAATCTTTCAATTCTCGACTATCTAATTCTCCGGAATTAGTTTTTAGTTTTGTCCAATCTCAAGTACATTGAAAAAATCTTGAGTGTATCGAAAAGTAAGATGCAATTAACTCGTACCTAAAAAGTAAATGAATGTAAATATCAACAAAGAATCTAATCTAGACTAGTAAATTCTCCAAATTAAATTTTAGTTTTTGTCCGACCTCAAGTATATAAAAAAAAAATCTTGAGCATATAAAAAACATAAATTCGTTCAAATAGTAGTTAAAAGTTGAATGCATAACAATACCATTAGTATATCAAATGAGAAATGAAAACGCATGAATAAGAATAGACTGCAAAAGCAACATAACCTTGTGTTTAGATGCCACTCTGCGAATAATAGATCACAAATGCGTAATCTCCAAATTCTCGAGTTCTTAATTCTCCGAAATAATTTTGAGTTTTGTCCAAATTTGAGTATATTGAACAATTCTCAAGTGTAACGAAAACTTAGATCCAGTTGAATCGTACCTAAAAACTAAATAAATAGTGATATCAACAATGTATCAAGTTCTCAATTATGCAATTCTCCGAATTAGTTTGGAGTTTTTGTCCAACAGCAAGTATATCGAAAAAAATCTTGAGTATATGAAAAACTTAGATCCGGTGGAATCGTAGCTAAAAATTGAATGAATAACAATACCAACAATGTATCAAACAAGAAAAAAAATGCTTGTATAAGAATATATTCTAACAGAAACATAAATTTATTTTTAAATTCGACTCTCCAAATTATGGATCTAAAATGTGAAATCTCGAATTTCTCGACTGCTTAATTATCTGAAATAATTTTGATTTTTGTCCAACCTTTAGTATATTGAAAATATCTTGACCTCATCAAAAACTTAGATCCAAGTTAATCATACCTAAAAACTAAATGAATAGCAATATCAACAATATTTTTAACTCTCACCATCTTAATTCTCCGAATTAATTTTGAGGTTTTATCCAACCTCGAGTATATCGAAAAAATCTTGATTACATCAAAAACATAGATCTAGTCGAATCGTCATGAAGAATTGAATGAATAAAAATACCAACAATGTCCAAACCAAAAGGAAAATGCATGTATAAGAATAGATTGAAAAGAAACATAACATTGTGGTTAGAAGCCACTCTACAAATAATCGATCTAAAACGATGTAAAACATAAAATCTTGAAATTCTCGACTACTTAATTCTCCGGAATTAGTATTTAGTTTTTTTTTTAACCTCAACTATATTGAAAAAATCTCAAGTGTATCGAAAAGTGAGATGAAGTTGAGTCGTACCTAAAAAGTAAATGAATGGCAATATCAACAATGAATCGAATCTAGACTAGTCAATTCTCTGAATTAATTTTTGGTTTATGTCCGACCTTGAGCATATAAAAAAAATCTTGAGTATATCAAAAACATAGATCCGGTCGGATATTAGCTAAAACTTGAATGAATAACAATACCATAAGTATATCGAAGGAGAAATGAAAACGCATGAATAAGAATAGATTGAGAAAGCAACATAACCTTGTGTTAGATGCCACTCTGCGAATAATGGATCACAAACGCGTAATCTCCATATTCTCGACTTCTTAATTCTCCAAAATAATTTTGAGCTTTGTCCAACTTTGAGTATATTGAACAATTCTCGAGTGTATCGGAAATTTAGATCCAGTTGAATCGTACCTAAAAACTAAATAAATAGTGATATCAACAATGTATCAAGTTCTCATTATGCAATTCTCCGAATTAGTTTGGAAGTTTTGTCCAACAGCAAGTATATCAAAAAAAATCTTGAGTATATGAAAAACTTAGATCCGGTGGAATCGTAGCTAAAAATTGAATGAATATCAATACCAACAATGCATCAAACCAGAAACGAAAATGCATGCATAAGAACAGATTGTAACAGAAACATAACTTTTTTAAAAAATTCCACTCTCCAAATAATGGATCTAAAATGTGAAATCTCCAATTTCTCGACTACTTAATTATCCGAAATAATTTTGATTTTTTTCCAACCTTGAGTATATTGAAAATATCTTGACCTCATCAAAAACTTAGATCCAACTTAATCATACCTAAAAACTAAATGAATAGCAATATCAACAATGCTTTTATTCTCGCCATCTCAATTCTCCGAATTAATATTTTAGATTTTTCTAACCATGAGTATATCGAAAAAAATCTTGATTATATCAAAAACATAGATCTAGTCGAATCGTAGCGAAGAATTATATGAATAACAATACCAACAATGTACAAAGCAAAAGGAAAATGCATGTATAAGAATAGATTGAAAAAGAAACACAACATACTGTTTAGAAGCCACTCTGCAAATCATATATCTAAAACGATCTAAAACATAAAATCTTGAAATTCCTGACTACTTAATTCTCCGGAATTAGTTTTGAGTTTTTTCCAACCTCAAGTATATTGAAAAAATCTCGAGTGTATCGAAATGTGAGATGCAATTGAGTCGTAACTAAAAAGTAAATGAATGGAAATATCAACAATGAATTGAATCTAGACTAGTCAATTCTCTCCAACTTAATTTTTAGTTTATGTCCGACCTCGAGTATATAAGAAAAATCTTGACTATAAAAAACATAGATCCGACCAAATAGTAGCTAAAATTTGAATGAATAACAATACCATAAGTATATCAAAGGAGAAATGAAAACGCATGAATAAGAGTAGATTGAAAAAGCAACATAACCTTGTGTTTATATGCCACTGCGAATAATGGATCACAAATGCGAAATCTCCAAATTCTTGACTTCTTAATTCTCCGAAATAATTTTAAGTTTTGTCCACCTTTGAGTATATGGAACAGTTCTCGAGTGTATCTAAAATTTAGATCCAGTTGAATCGTACCTTAAAACTAAATCGAAAACAAGATTAAAGAAACTAAATAGAACTTTTATTAGAATAAAAAAACCCAAGAACACAGTAGGAACACAAAAGCACAAACTATTGAACCTCAGATTTTACAAGGTATACTCATAGATGAAGAGCAACCAAAAACAGTTATGCAACGGTCGACGGCTAACGGACACCCACCGAAAACCTAGTCTACAACCCCAAAGCAAGAAACCCTAACACTCTATTATAAAACAAGTTGATTTAAGGAGAATTGAACCGTAGAAATCCTCACCAAACACTCCCCTACGCACACAAAAGAATCACCTCTCCATTCAATGGTAAATCGGCCGGAAAGAACCAACTTCGAACACAAGGCAACTGGAGAAGAGAGACTTGCTAGATGTAGACGAAATTTTAGAGAGAGAGATTTCAGCAGTGGCACATCTATACTTCTTTACAATGAGGGTTAATACTATATATATAACTCAAGATGGACAGCTCAGATGTGATCCCTAAAATGAATGGCCGGGATTCACTCCTGAGGGGACAGGGGTCAACCACATTTAGTTGGGCCATCTGAACTGGGTCGGAGATGCAGGTCGCGCACCAAACAGACACTGGAGTGGGTCGGAAAGGCCGGAGGGCAATTCGGCCCAAATAAATCCCAACATTAATTTTAGTCATGAAAATTAAGAATTATTAATTTACCTAAATCACAACTAAGAAAAATCACAAGATCAAATTAATAATAAATTAGAATACAATGCAAGAAATATAAGAGGCACTTTCTGTTGTATCTATTTTTATGCTATGCAATATTTAGTATACATATATTTATGTAAAAAATGGCAAATTCAACATGTCCATTTTCTTTTAACATAACATTTAAATTTAATTTTCATAAGGATCATTATATTTGTTAAAGATATAAAAAGAATTAATTATTGATAGATGAACCATTTTAAGGTGTCTCGTGAATTTTGTTGTAAAGTTCTAAATTCTATATTTTGAGATGAAATTAGTGTATGTACATTTTAAATGAAAATTTGAGGTTGTATATGATATGTATATTCTTTTTAATAAGATTACATTTTAAAATGTGAAAATAATTTTTAAAAGATAAGTAAACAAACACTATAATCCATTATTTATAAATTTACCCATTTCGGGATTTTTCAACGTTTTTGGCCCAACCCAATTCAATTGGTAGTACCGACCTCGAACATAAATGGTAATAATAAAATTTCTATATAATTATCTACAGATAGTGAACTTTCACATATCTCAAATCTTGAATTCAATAGTTGAGAGTTCGAAGATTGAAGCTCTACCTCTAAGCATTTGGAGAGTCGCATTCAAGCTCAACGTGATGTCTCTTTTTCAATATATTATCATATTATTCAATTTCTCGTTTGATAGATTTTTTATGCAATTATCATTTGGTTTTAGCTAAAATAATAGTGAACCTATTTTTTTATGCACTTGAGGTTTGGTTCTATGATACACTCTAGGTTCGAGAAAAAGCTCAAACCTCTTTCACTTATCATTATTCCATTGAAAATTCAGTCGTATGTTTGTCATAATCTAAAATAAATTCAGAGAAATATTTTTTTTTAATTATATAAAGAAAACCACACACATTTCCTAAATTTAGAATTGGCTCATAAGGAATTAAAAATTCTACTTTCTACATCTATTATTTGGAGAGCCGAATCTAAACTTAAGGCGATGTTTGATTTTTACTCTATCATCATCTTCCTTCTCTCTTTCTCTTTTCATACATTGTTGAAGTTTTTAGTCATTTAGATTTAACTACAATTAGATTGAATTTCCATTTTGGAAACACTCACGATTCTTTCGATACACTCGAAGTTTGACAAAAACTTGAAATTATTTATCTCCTTCTCGATAAGATGATATTGTGGATTTCTAATAAAAGTTTATAATAAAATGATATAATATTGTTTTTCTCCCTCTCCATAATTGAGTACTCGAGAATTCGGAGATCTCACTTTTTAAATCCATTATTTTCGTGAGTGGCATCTAAAGATGGCTTTTTGTCAATCTTTTCTTATATGCACTCTCTCATTTTCCTTTGATGCATTTTGGATACTGTTATTCATTCATTTTTTTAAGCTACATTTCAACTAGATCTAGGTTTTCGATACACTCAGAATTTTATCAATATACTCTAGGTTCGACAAAAACTCAAAATCATTTATCTCTTTCTCAGCCAAATGATGTTATCATACAGTGGCGGAACCAGAAATAGTACGTAGGAGGGGCTGAATGTTATAAAAATAAAAAAAAAGGGGGCTGAATGTTATAAAAATAAAATAATTAAAATAATTAAAATATTTTTTAAAAGTTGAATATATATTAAATAGTGTAAAATTTACAAAGAAGCAATAACAAACTAAAGTCTTCTTGTATAAATGAAAATAAGAGGGGATTTTACTACAATAATAGAATAACGACTGTGAAGTATAATAAAGAAATCAACCAAACCTGAGACATTGCAACTCCAGCCAAAATGGAATCCAAATTCAGCTACGTAAACCAAAAAAAAATATTACTTATTCAACCTGACAAAAAAATAAACTATAAAAAAAAAAAAGATACAGTACCTTAGTTTTGTCACGATATTTGTATTCTTCGAGTAGCCATGTTTTGAAACTCTTGTAAAATTGCTTCAGTTTCAATAATTACAAAAAATTCCTTTTTCAAGATAACACACTAGACAATTGGTAAGATATTCATCTCCCATTATGTTCCGCAAATCATTTTTGACAATATTCATTGCTGAGAAAGATCTTTCAACAATCGTGACCGGTAAAACTAATGCCAACTTGATCAGTCGATAAATCCAATAGAAAGTACTCTTACAATTCATTTGAATCATCTGTGTAAGATCTCCAATATCAAAAAGGCCAATAAAATTTGGTTCTGATCTCACATAACGTAGAAATGTTTGAAGTTGTGGTCTTAATTATGATAAATTATGCATAGAAAAATCCTTCGAATATAACTAAGCAAGATGAATAATCTGGTCATCATCAAAAGTAGCAAACAAATTGGTGGGATTAAGACATGCTATTCCCATCAACAGCTTCGAGTTTAATTAAGTGAACCGATGATTTATTTCTTGAGAGATAATATCGATCACCTAACATTGTAAAAAAAAATAAAATTAATATTTCATAATATAAACTAATACTGCAATAATTTTTATAATAAATAAAGAAGAATAAAATACCTGTATGAAAGTGTCCACCCGAAAATAATGAAAATGTGTTTTTCTTTGGACGTCAACAAGTATTCTCAATAGTTCGGGAATGATATCATTCATATCGGGGACAATTTCCATGACCCAAACAAAACTTAGTTACTTCATCCAAAAAGTCCTCCCAACCACTTGTTCTAAATTCTTGCAATTCATCGTATGTTGGTTATATTTAAATAAAGCTATGTACTATCATTTGTTCCTTTATAGAATTAATTTTGTATAAATTAATTTCTGAATGATTGATTCGCAATTCTTTTACGAGAATTGGTCATTAGTGATTACTTGATAACCACTTGGGCACACTTTAAGAATAGTCAAATATATTTTGACTGCAATTAAATGTGGAGTGCGTCAAATGCTTTGACTACAATAATAATTTTTGGAAATATTTCTTGTGCACAAAGGCTGAGAGTAATATTTTTATGGCTCTTGAGGATGATAGTATGCGGTTAGGCGTGAGGGTGTTGTTTATCATTTGTAAAATGTTAGCGCTGTTTGAATTATTATAAAGTCGACACTTTGTATGTCGAATTGTATAGAGTGGAATTACTCACATCCATTGGCCAAGAAACTGACATACAATATGTTTATGGGAAGGTTAAAGTCCACTAAATTGTCTTAGCATGAGACATCCAATTCCCTCCTAGTACAATGCTGAGAGCTGAATTCAATGTGGAAAGCTCACACTTAGAGGATTGGAACGTGATTTATTCATCTCAAAGAGTATGTTCGAACTTGCAAGAAAGTTCGGTTGAGGTTTAGCCATATAAGTTTCAACTAACTTATCTATTGAATTTTTCACATACACCAAAAAAATCTGTGCAAGATGTCACGGAAATAATGGATAACAATTACTTTTATTTATTATATATAATGATTGAATTTGACTTATCCAACAAAAAGAAGTATGAAACTATTTTATGCATTAAATTTAATTTTTCGCATACACCAAAAAAGTCCGTGCAAGATATAGAGAAAAATGGATAACAAGGAATTTTATTAATAATATATAATGATTGAATTTAATATATTCAACAAAAAAAATTAAATCATACCTAGATTTATGTTACACGTCAGAATTTTGAACTAACTTATCCAATTAATTCTTCACATACACAAAAAAAATATCCGTGCAAAATGTCAGGTAAAGAATGAATAACAATGAATCTTGTTTATTATATATAATGATAGAATTTTACTTATCCAACAAAAAGTATTAGATAATAACTAGATTTTTGTTAGATGTCAGAAGTTGAAATAACTTATCCATTGAATTTTAGAAAAAATCCGTGCAAGCTGTCAGGGATAGAATGGATAACAATTACTTTTATCTATTATATATAATAATTGAATTTAACTTATCCAACAAAAAGAATAAAATCATACCTGGATTTCTGTTGGTCGTCAGAAGTTGGAACTTATGTATTAAATTTTTTGCATGCACCAAAAAAGTCCGTGCAAGATATCAGAGAAATATGGATAACAAGGAATTATATTAATAATATATAATGATTGAATTTAATATATTCAACGCAAAAATTAAATCATACTTAGATTTATGTTAGACGTCAGAAATTTGAACTAACTTATCCAATTAATTCTTCACATACACCAAAAAAAAAATCCGTTGCAAAATGTTAGGTAAAGAATAAATAACATGAATCTTGTTTATTATATATAATATTAGAATTTTACTTATCCAACAAAAAGTATTAAATAATAACTAGATTTTTGTTAGATGTCAGAAGTTGAAACTAACTTATCCATTGAATTTTTGAAAAAATCTGTGCAAGCTGTCAGGGATAGAATGGATAACAATGACTTTTATCTATTATATATAATGATTGAATTTAACTTATCCAACAAAAAGAATAAAATCATACCTGGATTTCTGTTGGACGTCAGAAGTTGGAACTATTTTATACATTAAATTTTTCACATACACCAAAAAAACTCCGTGCAAGAGGTCAGAGAATAAATGGATAACAATATTTTTTTTTTACAATATATAATGATTGAATTTAATATATTCAACAAAAATAATTAAATCATACATAGAGTTATGTTAGACGTCAAAAGTTGGAACTTACTTATCCATTGAATTTTTCACATACACATAAAAAAATCCGTGCAAGATGCCAGCGAA